TATATATATATATATATATATATAACTGAGATAAATCAATAAAAGACAGTGGAATACCCAAAATATCGTGAGAAAAATGAGAATATAAATCATGAGATGAAAAATAATTAAACAAGGAAAATGAGGGGGTCCAGTGCCAGAATGTATATGACATTTTTTAATCGCATCCGTCCAATATTTAAGGGATAAAAAGATGACGTCTTATAATTATACATGAAACAGTTATACAACACGTACATATTTTTTTAATACCCAAAAAAAACAAATTAACGTTATATGCCTTTTATTCGTGTCAATAAAGAAGGAATAACAATGTTTCCACTAAAAAAAGGAATAATAATGTCGAATAGGACAAACCTAAAAAAAAACAAAAACAGAAGAGTGGCATGTTAATCTAAATTAATACTGTAAAAAACCCAAATAAAACATTGTAAAGTGAATTGAATCACAATAAAGTTTATTTCCAAGCATTGAATTGAAACACACCCACCCTTGATTTTAATGGTGCAAAACATCGTATAAAGTTTAAAAATAAAACTTGTTTAGTTGTTTTCAACATTTTTTAAAAGGCATGTAATTATATTTTGTGGTTGGTCAATTAAACACGCAGTATGAACAAGGACCCAATCATGGATGAGAACAAATTAACAATATACCATCTTTAATTGTGTTGCCTAATAATTATATAATTTTAAGCAAAATATACATTGAAAATATACTTTTTCTTCGTATTAATTATGAAAAAAATGAGAGATAACGAGGAGAATAACAACGTGAGAAAATTGGGACATGCATGAAAATGGATTGAAGTGTCGACCATCTTTGATAGCTAAGAGAGAAAACAAATTAAACCAGTCGAGAGGAGGAAGAAAAAAGAAAAAGAAAAGATTAATTGGATCAGAGAGAATGGAAGAGAAGATGATGATCATGATTATAATTGACGGGTGATGGCCACGAAAGTGCAAAAGGAAAGCCTATCAATCAAATTCAAAGGCTATGGGATTAGATAGGGTGTAGTGACAGTTGGAAATATAATTAAAAGTTTGACATGCATGATTATAAAAATGTATTCTCTTAATTGGAGAATCTCACCATCTCAACACAGTGCTTGCAACAAAATTTGAGCTTAATCTCTTTGTTCCTTTGTGGAGGTGTCCCAATGTCAACCTCTCATTCATGTCACAACACCTTCATCCTTTTAGTAACACTTTATCTCTTTTCACTGTTCCTGCTTACTGCTATATAAACATATATATCTGCTTTAAGTTTATCTTTAAATTAAGAGTTAACTAATATTCAACTTACCATATCTAATAACTAAACAATAATATGTTTTTTAATAATTAGCTTTTTAAGTCTAAATCAAGGATTAATTCTAAGTCTTTGTTTTTTTACCTTGGCGTTGGATGTTATTTGAGCATATCCAAGACTTAGCAACATGAAGATATATTTTTTTTTCCAAGGGATAATAATCTTAGGAAATTAAGAAAGACAATAAATTATAAGTTAGAAATATTGAGTCAAGTATCGGTAGCTCATGAAATTTATTTGAATTAGAAATGAATTCATGCCATAAACTCGTTTACACCAAACTCTTTGGATTAGGTCTAATGTGTCTTTCAAACAAAAATAAATATAATATTTTTTTCTTTAAAAATTGTATTTTATTTAATGAACTATATTGAGTCTTTCCAATTACCTAACTCCACTTACATGTTATATATATATATATATATTTTTTTTTCTTTTACATATTTAATATACAATACGAGTTCAATTTTTTACACAGATGTTTATATAATTTTATTTAGGTCAATCAATGTGTTTGAGATAAAAAGGGACATCTGAAACAAAATCTAGTACTATTAAATATTTTATTTGAGTTTAACTAAAATTTAATAAATTAGGTGAATTTACAGATTTGCATTAACATGCTTTTAAAATCCAATCCTTGTTTGATTTTAGCCTTAATTAAACTCAAGTAATTGATTTATTATTTAAGTGTAAAGTTAAATTCCAATTTAAAAAGTTAACTCAACCAAACTAAGTAAAACGTCTTAATTATTACGAAAGGAACTAAATTTTGATTTTGAAGTTCTATTAATAAATGTTAATCTAGAAGAAAAAAACATAAAATATAAGTTAAACATTTAAATATTGTAGAACCCAGAAATATATATTAAATTAAAGCATATAAACAGAAATAAGTAAACAAAAAGAAGATATATTTGAAACAAAATATAATAATTAAAAAAATGTTAGTGTAAACACGTTGTTTGATTTTATGATTAAAAAATGGAATAGAAAATGTAGATCGGACAAGAAAGATATAAATCCCATCAAACAGTGAAAAGAGGAGGACAACAAGAAATTGAAGGTTGGAAGATAGCACAATCTGCTTTTTTGACTTAAGCATGATTTACACAAACCGTGTTTAGCAACAGTGTTTAAATCATCATCAAATTTAAACATTATCATAGCACTAAAAGAAACCTTTCCTTTTATTAGAATTAATAAATCAACAATCAAAATTAACTGTTTATGTTTGTTCTTTTTCTTTTTTTTTGGTACAATTCACTGTTTTCTGTTTGAATTTGTGTAATAATTCTTAGATGATATGTGTTCACTGTTTCATTCAAAATATCATCAACAACATATTTTGTAATATATATATATATATATATATATATATATATATATATATATATATATATATATATATAATACCTTCATAGTATAACTCATTTAACCAAATTTAAAAATAACAACCAATATAAAAACATTTTATTTGTTTATTGTATGTAATATGATTAATTATCATATAATTTGCTTACTTTTACAATATTTGAAGAGCAAATGATTTAAATGTTAAAAATATATATTATACTTAAATATTTTTAGTTTTTTTATGTTAAGTTGTTTTTTAGTATTTGAATTTTTATTTTTTGTAAGAATTATTTTAGTATATTTATTTAATTTTTTTAACTCAACTTTGTCCAAAATAATATTTTGAAAAAAAACACCAGTTAAGATATTTTAAATTTAGGAAAAGACTTACTCCAAATTTAATTACTAATTTTTTTTATAACTTACATGGTTTATGTAGTTTTATTAATTTATAATTTTTTCTGTATAAAAAAAATTAATAATATATGATTTTCCAAATTTTAATTTTGAACAAATTTTTCAATTACGAATATATTATCTAGTTTCCAACAAAAAAATTTAACAAATATTAAATGTTAAAACTTATCACTAAACTTTAGTAGTAGTATAGTATGATGTGATTGAATAAATTACTAATATTTTTATTAATAGAAAAATAGAGGATAGATTTTTCTAATAATAAAAGAAAATAAAGAATCTTTTATATAATTAAATTACTATAAAAACTAAAACTAAAAGTAAATTTAAGTTTATTTTTATCTAATAAGAAATTATCTTGACGGATATTTTATTTGTTATTATTATAATTATATTAAATATTATAATACTTTGAAGTATTTTATTTTGTTACTGATAATGTAATATTTTTCATACGTTTAATTAATGTCTATAATTATTATAATCTATCAAAATTGACCAGTCAAGATTCACAAATGAGGAGAGAGATTTTACGGCTGCCTTTACATTTGTGTCCAACCAAAACCTGCCACATCAGCATGCCCCCCTTCCGCGTGCTATTCCTCCCCTTTCACGAGAAATTGACCAGCCGATAATTTGGAATCAAAATCGAACGGCGCAGAGACGTATACAAAACGTAACAGGTTCCACTCTCTCTATCCATTCAACACGTGGCTCTACCGGTGCAACCAGTTCCAGGTTACTTAACGGCGAACATTTTGTGGCCCCACTGCTACTGCCTCCACGGCCACCGTCCTCCGTCGCAGCCGCCTACCGGACATTCCAAAAAACAAATATATATATATATATATATATATATATATATATATTTTTTTTTTTTCAATCATAAAAAAACCCATAACAAACAATAATAATAATAAAAAATTAGGAAGCAATAATTATTATTTAATTGTGCATTAAGCTATGATTTAAGGGAGATAAGGGGTTGTAGAGAGGGTCCTTTCTTTCAGATTTTGCTCCAAAATCAGAACAACCAAACCTTTCATCTGATTTGCAGAGAGTTTTCTCAAGGGACCAACCAGAGACAACCAAGGACACTGTAGAGAGAGAAAGTGGTTTTTTTTTCTGTGAGTAACATGCAATAGATATATGTATGTATATATACAGAGAGAGAAAAAGAGTTGAAGATTGATGTTCAATTTGAAAATTGCCAATAAGTACCCCTTTTCTGTTCTTATTTTTTGGTTGGTTTTGGTTCCTATCCAACCCTGTAAGTCTCTAGCATTGTTTCCCTCTGTTTGCTTTTCTTTTTTTGTTCTCTTCTTCAAGTATTACTCTTTGTGAATGGGCTCAACAGTGACTTGCTGTGCTGGCTTTCGTTTTCTTCTGTTTTGTGGAGATCTTGATTGAATTTTTGGTTTTTCTAGTTGAATCATGAAGCATGACGAATGATGGGTTGTGTTCAAAATTTGAAATTTTTGTTGCTGCATTGGGATGTTGGATTCATTTCTGCATTCGTATGTTCAATTGAAGTTCGTGTTGTTTCTGGCGTTTTGCATCTTTGGGGATCTATCTATCTCACAAGGGGCATTTTTGTTTTCTTTCTCTAATCAAAGGTTTCATCTTTGTTATGCCATGAGAAAAATAAAGGGAAATAAAAATGTGACTTTTGGGGATTTATCTGGGTGATTGATTGAACGGATTTCGATCTGAAGAAACTTTTGTGATGGGTGTTGATTAGATGGGCCTTGCTTGCTGTGATGGGTGTTTAAATTCGTGCAAAGAAGTAAAAGGGGCAAAAATTGGGAACTTGTGAATTGAATTGGATTTCATCAATTCTGTTTGAACAGGCTCTTGATTTTGCTGTGGTGGATTGAAGTTTGAGGCGTTCCTCTGACTTTCTCTGTGGCGGAGACATGTTGGACGGTCGTTCCTGTGTTGTTCCGAGGTTGTTTTCCAGCACTTGCCAGGCAGAGAACGACTGGTCTTACATGAAGTGCTTGCTGGACTTGGACATCAAGAATGGAAAGCGCCCTATGGAGATTGATGATGTTGAGGATGAGCCCCAGCAGCCAAGGAAATGTACTAAGAAGTTGGATTCTTGCAATAGAGTTGAAATGGCTCGAATTTCGTTTCAAAGGCAATCTATTGAGGCCAAGGATTCTGTTGTTTCTCAGATGGATCAGGAGACCTTTGAGCCATTGAGTGTTTGTGAAGGAGTTGATGGAGAAGACGGAGCTTTGACCGACCGGCTATCGGGTGAGCAAGACCGGGAGGGTGATGGTGATTTGATGGATGTTGGTGACAATCAATCCGATGAACAGCAGCAGGCTAGGCCTGGGGAGTCATCAGATTTCGGTGATAGGCTATCTGATGGAGATCGGTTGCAGCATGGTGAGAATCTATTGAATTCAAGTGAGCAGCAATCTGAGCAGCAGCAGCAGCACCATGGTGGGGATTCTTCAGATTCCGGTTCTCTCTTGCCACGCATGAACCGCGACAGCTCAATCGCATGTCTCAGCCGCTGTTCAAGGTCAGATTACGGTTCTCTAGCCTCTCTGAATAGGAGCTTCCGAAACATAATCCAAAGTGGTGAACTGTATCAATGGAGGAGACTAAATGGTATTATGGAGCACTGGATTTATTTTTCCTGCGCCCTCCTTGAATGGGAGGCCTATGATCCAATCCGCCAGAGGTGGATGCATTTGCCAAGGATGGCTTCTAATGAATGCTTCATGTGCTCAGATAAGGAATCTTTAGCTGTAGGTACTGAGCTACTTGTGTTTGGGAGGGAACTAAGATCCCATGTCATTTACAGATACAGTCTCTTGACAAACTCATGGACATCTGGAATGAGGATGAATGCTCCAAGATGCTTGTTTGGCTCAGCAAGCCTTGGAGAGATTGCAATATTAGCTGGTGGGTGTGATTCAGAGGGACACATCCTTGACTCTGCCGAATTATATAATTCAGAGACTCAAACATGGGAAACACTCCCAAGTATGAAAAAACCCAGGAAGATGTGTTCTGGGGTATTTATGGATGGAAAGTTCTACGTTATAGGGGGGATTGGGGGAAGTGATTCTAAGGTCCTAACATGTGGGGAGGAGTACAATTTACAGACTAGGACATGGACAGAGATTCCTAACATGTCCCCGGGACGAAGTAGTAGGGGTCCTGAGATGCCTGCAACAGCTGAGGCACCACCTCTGGTTGCTGTTGTGAATGATGAACTATATGCTGCTGATTACGCTGACATGGAGGTTAAGAAGTATGACAAGGAGACCAAAGTGTGGTTTACCATTGGGAGACTGCCGGAACAAGCAGTGTCAATGAATGGCTGGGGTCTTGCATTCAGGGCGTGTGGAGATAAGCTTATTGTCATTGGTGGACCTAGGACTCATGGTGAGGGTTTTATTGAACTCAATTCATGGGTGCCTAGTGAAGGACCTCCACAGTGGGATGTACTTGCTAGAAAACGTTCTGGCAACTTTGTCTATAATTGTGCTGTGATGGGATGCTGAAGCATTGAATTGTTAAAGTTACACATTTTGATGCTTCAAGTCCAAGGAGTTGCACTACATTGATTCATCCATTGACACAGGATTCTTGCTAATTGGTACATTGCCCCCCTTATTTCTTTCTATGATATTTTTCTTTGAAAGGTTGGGGATGATGGGGACAAGATTCAGATATTACTCAAGATTAGCTGAAAAGGTTTCTGGGGAGGACCTCTTCAGTCTTTTTCTTTTTTTTTTAATGTTTCAAACTTCAACCACTATTTTGTTACATTGAAATTGGCATCTTCCCCCATTTTCATTGACCTGTGATTTTTCAAACTTTGTTATCATGTAGCAAAGAAATAGATTAAATAATTTTTAAGTTCTACACAAACTTAGATTACTGGTGTTGTTTGTTTAAGTGATTCTAAGAACACACAACTAGATACTTGATTTTCATGATCATAAATTTCCTAGCTTGAAGGAATGAAATAATTCTCTTAAGAGTTTTTTCTTTTCTTTTTTTGGATTCTGTACTGATTCAATTTTCCACATTTGAATTCATGGACTTGTATCTTGAGCTCTCTGTAGTCTGGAAACTGGTATCCTGACCGATCAATTTATTACATACCTCAGATATTAAACGTTATCATATATAGAATTATCTATCTACAATTTTTTTTATGGTGGACCTATGCATTATGTCACAAAAAACTTATGGTTACCAAAACTAAAAATGAGGAAAATTTTCCACTTTTAGACTGCGAACCTTCATGGAAAAAATATTTTGCTTCTCCTGTCAAAATAATAAATAGTGATTAATTGTATGTTGTTTTAAAAATCATTATTGAACCTGCGATTAATACAGTAGTTTAATGTGTGGTTTAGAGCCAAATGCTGGAGTGTTGTACCGCACCATTCAGCCATTATTACTTGCTATGTTGATTGGAGGCCATCCATCAAACAAGTGTTTTTTTGTTGTCTTCCCAATTGCATGAACCTTATTTTGGCCCTTATTTTGAACTGTCTTATACATGCAGTTGGAAACGTGAAATTGAAATATGCATACATCTAGTGTGTCTTAAACCTGTTGTAGTTATTGGATGTTTCCAATTGTAAGTATATGACAATGGTCCATATTATAGTAGGAAACTCATCTTAGTCCTGGAACAGCAGAGTTGCTTTAAATATTTTGTTGGGTAGTTGCATCATCATTATTAGACATCAAACTCCTTAAACAACTTCAGGTCCTATATGAATAAACTTTTGACGCTGAAATAATTAATAAAAAGATAAAATAAACCAAGTTTTTTCCCTTACTTAAAAATAAGTTTTCTGAGGAATTAAATGTTCGAGAGTATAAATATATAGTAAGTTATGGAAGATACATAATTATTATATCTTCTTTTATAAGTGAAGTTATCTAAATAGAACTTCCTCTCCACAAAGTTGGTAGAAATAAAAAACAGAACAACAGTTAACTAAACCTTTGAAACCCAATTAACTTCTGAGTATTGCATCCCACAGAACATGAAGAGATTGTATCTCATGACTTAAAAAGGTAAATTAAAGTTCAATACAGATATAAGAAATGGAAGGGTAACTAATGGAATATAGGTTGTCTGTCTAATCAATGAAAATGCAAGATTAACTTGGAAGCTTTATGCAACATGCCTTCATGAAACACTGGTGTTAAATTAAAAAGAAATTTATGAGATTTACAGCTCTATTCGGATGTTGCATACTTCCTGTGTTGAGTTGGAATGTTATGCTGATGATAGGCTTCTACTCACGATGTTTAAATTACTGAGATAAGTAGGTGTCGGAGGTAAAAATTAAAAACAAAATTTTAATCAAGTGTGAAATCTAAACAAGCATATGAAAAGACATGCTCGATAAGATTATAAGATATGTAGTTTGCAACGGAAAAATTGAAATGACATTTTTAATCTTGTTATTAAAATTTGTTTTCTATCACCATGATACAAATGAGGCTGATTTTTTCAGGAAAATATTTCTGTTATTCAGAAATATTTTTACCAAAAAGTACTACTCTACGCACATAGTCAAGGATCGAATTCCTAACAAGTGGTTAAATAGCTTAAGTTATTTGTTGATAATTAAAGGGGCATTAGATTTATTTAACCACATGTATCTACTTTCTTGTTTGGGGGAGGAATTAGTCAAGCCATGAGAAGAAAACCATGGTCCTGGCTGGTAGGTTTCAAAATCCAGAAGTGTGTAGAACGTGTAGTTTAGCCTATGAAACTAAGGCCCAATTAAACATTTTGTCAAAAATTGATTGGGTAAAAAAATAGAGTAAAGCCTTCCATTTTAAAACAAAGGTCTTCTCTAGGCTCATTTTATGTGTAGGCCCAAAGAAAATTAAATGGCCTAACACGATGGGCACAATGTAGTGGCGTTTCTTGTTACAAAACAATAATTAAAATGAGATAACTTTTTATTCTCCTGCATTTCATCTTTGTTCATCAAAAGATGATTTTGGTGAAACATACTTAAAGGTTGATAACAAAGAATACCCAAAGTTTATCGACAAGGCAAGTTCATATTGCCATTTAAATTATGTAGTTTTCGGAAAAAAAAAAATCAAAATTTTAAGAAATAAATAGGATTTGTACTTATTAAAATAGAGTGAAAACTGTTTGCTTTTAAAGTAAGATATTAAACAGATGTATCTTAAAAATTTGAAAAATATTTATTAAAATAGATACTATATGAAAACAAAAATGAAATAATTTCTTGCATGAAAAATTGAATTTATGATGACAGAATAAAATAAAATAGGATCATTAATAATAGAAAGTTGCAGAACAGTGGTGTAATAGGAAAAGTAGAAAAAGACGTAACAGATGGGAGTATATTTGTGTAGATAGTGTTTGACACAGAAAAGCAATAAGATATGCAGAAAGAAGGTTGTTTGTGATGGCACCAATATCTCCCATCTCTCTTAGGACAACCGACCTAAAAATCCCAACGCAACAAAGAGGATCAAACAAAACGTGGTGTCCACTTTCTCCCAAACCTCTGCAGTGAAACTGTACCTTTTTTTTTCTTTTTTGCCTCCCCAGGTGTTCTCTTCACAATCTTCTCCATTTCATCATCACTTCTCTGAGTTTTCCACTCTTCCGCAATCACACACCCCTTCTTCTTCTTCAATTCACCACAACAACAATAACATCATCCTCTGATATTGGGAGTTCTTCTAAGCTATCCTATGCATCTGGACTCTATGAGCTAATTCTAGTCAACCAAATAATTTGTATGATTTTTACTTTATGGAATATGATAGAGATGAAAATATTCGTTTTACAAAATTTAGTGGAGAGAGTGATGGATGGTACATGATGAAGTATAGCATAAAGTGCAGTGACAGCTAAATGTGGAGTGATGGTGGGATTCCTTTGGAGGGCTTTGTAATGGCCAAGCTGTGAAATCCATCCACCACTGACTCACCATCACTCCCACTTTTTGTCCCCATTTAAACCATCACAAAAACATTGCACATACGTGACCTAGATTGCCCAACAACTTCATCCCAATCTTTCTCAAACCAAATGTTTCAACATTCATTATCCAAATCCTATCACAACAATTATCATCAACACCACCTTCTTTCTATTTTTTCCTTAATTAATCTTAATGATCGCTTCATCCAAAGCAAAGGAATTTTATCTTAAGATGTTGAACCCTATTCTATTATTGTGGGATGTTTTCATTTTCTGGCATTAAAAATTTTAAATGATTATTATTATTAAATGCTCTGGTTGAAAAATAGTTGTTGATGGAAAAGGCTATGATTGAAGATAATATTCTCTCTATATGTATTGGTGGTTTGGCGAGTGCATGAAGATATTGTAAGATGAGAGATATTATGATGATAAACGATACACGTGAAGAACATAGTTTTTCTTAAAAGCAAAGAAATATGGTGTCATTGTGATAAGAAAATAATGGAATTGATTTGACATGAACGGTAGAGGAAACACATGAATGAATAATAAATAACGTTGACATGAACTACACCGATCAATAATTGGTGGATTGTGGGTATTTCCATTTTGGATATCACACTCACTTCGCTTCCCTTACGTTATCACATGCTCAATAATAATAATAATAATAATAATAAATTTAGGTTTTTAGGTTTCATTAGACTTGCTTCATTTAACTACTAATTACTTCAATCAATAACTAGGTTTCTTTAAACTTGTAGTTTGAGTGGAGGAACCTTATTCATAAACGTGGAATTTTTATAACCATTGCTTTCTTTCATTGCAACTTCTCCATTATCCCCAGATATATAATATTATATAACGATGCCGAGTCAAACCCTAACTTTAATTTCAGCTTTTGAAATGGACTTCGAATTCCTTCATATTAATTACTTTTTAGACTATAAATAATCTTGTTTAATTAAGTATATTTTTGTGATAAATAGTCTTTCTTAAATAAGGAAAATTTATGATACTATAGAGTTAATTTTTTTTAAAAGAACAGTTTAAATATGATTTTAGTTCATTAGACTTAAAAACCGATTTTTTAGTCTCTAAATCGTTTAAATTTAAACGGATTGTTTTTTTTTTAATTATTTTAAATATGGTTAAAAGTGATTTTTCTTTATCCAATGTTTTAATAGTAATTTATTTCTTGTTATTATAGGAAAATATTGAGATAAAATTGATTCGTCATAATTAAAATAAACTACTAATTTATTTATTTTTAAGGAGATTAATAAGTTAACATACCAATTTATCAATATATTTTTTATATATTTTTTATATTTATTTTAAAAAATATATATTTATAATTATATGAATAATTAATATTTAATTATAATTAATAATTTATATTTAATTGGTTAGTATTTATAATTTAAATTAATATTATAATATATTTATACATTTTAACAACCTAATATAAAAAATATTATATTTTTTAGTTTAATTTTAATATATAAATAATTTTAAAAAACAGACCAATATACTCCTATCAATTTGGCGAGC